ACCAATAAATGCTAACCTGATCAAATGGAGCCCAGACGCTGGTCCTGAACGTTGTGTCACATCTCTGTCTCTACAAAATATCACCCTCACCAGACTTTGCCTCTATTCTTGGGAGACATTGCTTAATAATCGGGGCCCTTCCAACTGGCAGGTTTCTCTGATGTTCCTCTGAACTTCCTTTGTGTGGGTTGACCTGGCCTGGAGTGCAGCCCCTGAGGGAGTCTTGGCGCCTCCCTCATCTTGGTGCGAGCATTTCAATGAACTCTGTGCTCTGGGCCCAGTTGTCAGCACCGCAGCAACGTCTGGGGGAGCCGGCAGGCCCCAGGAACTAACCACCCTTTTGCTAAGGCTTTGACATAACCCACCCCACGCCTGCCTCAACCCATGGAGCCCCAGCCACCAACCCCGGTCTCCAAACAAGGGAAAGGCCAACTCTGCGCTCTGGAGCTACTCTCCCAGCTCAGCGGGGCTAGCTGGCTCCGGGAGGTCCAAGCTGGTTAAGCTGTGAGCTTTCGCCCCTCCCCACAGGAGCCCCAAAGTGACCTTAGCGGATCAAAATGGTCAAGGAACAACTCCCGGCCACCCTCATTCCGCCGCCCCCTTCCCTCCACCCAGCTTCTGTGTATGTTTAGCCCCCAGATTGGCCCTCTAAGGTCCGCATTCAGAGGCTAAAATGAAGGTCATTGTAAGCGAGGGTTCAGGCGGAGCATAGTCTTTGCAGGCCCTAGAGGAGGCGGCGGCGCCTGGCGGCCTGGGCTGGGCGGAAGGCGGGGGCGGTGGCAGAGATCTTGGGGATCCTGATGAAAGAGGGGACTCGAAGAGAAAGCAGAGGGGGGCTGGGACAGAAAGCCAAGGCCCAGATCTGGCGGAGGTGCTGTGTACCCCCCACCCCTGCAGCCAGCCCGATACCTAGAGCTCTTTGAAAACAGGAAGAGCCAAGGTGTCATAAAGCCATCGAGCCGGCGAGACGTCTGGAGGTAATGAGTTTACGACAGGCCAGGCGCTTCGCTTTGAAACCATCTCATTTTGATGTTTGTGAGAGGAAAGGAAAAATGCAGACAAAACTGGGTCTTAAAATCTGGACAATAAAATATAAACAAGACTGTGTTGAACCGAGAAGGCAGGGGCTAGGGAGCCCCCGAGTGAGGTGTGAGCACATAGGAAATAAAAATGAGAGATAGGAAGAAGAAGGTGATGTGTTTCTGGTTTTTAAAATGGGCTGAGCATTAGAAGTAGCTTAAGGCGACTGGCTCTTTATAATATTTTGACTGTGGCCTCACTCTAGCTGGTTCTTAGAAAAAAAAAAAAAAACCCAAAACCAAACAAAGCAAAACACTACAACAACACCCTGTTACTTGAGAGTAGGAAGGTTAGTGAGCTTGGGTCATTTACTCAGAAAAGAGTCTCCAGAAATATAGTCTATGGGAAAAGATGAAGTTACATGCCTCTTTACAAAAACGTATAGGGCCCTTCATTCCAAACTTCACAGCAAAAATATTGAAATCTATTCACTTATCAAAAATACAACCATTACACCTGAACTTGCAGAAAGCATTTTTTAAAATGGGGGGGGGGGAGATTAACCTATCAGGAAACACCTAAGCTGATTTAATAGTTTGAGCTTTAAAAAAAAAAATCAAGTGGAATGTTTAGTCAATTTGGCTCTGTCGGTAACTTTTGTTATAAAAGTTTAAAATCCCATTACTGTCCATAGAATTTCAAAGGAACACAAGCCCAAAAGGGACTTTCCAGACAGCCATTCAGAAATCCAGCAAAAAATTTTCAATTTGGCCTCACTCCTCCCAAATTGCCCAACTAAATGGGCCCAGAACATCAAACTTAGAAAGTTAAAATAGAAATGTTTATTATCTCATGCTAAAAGCAACAGCTTTAAAAGAAAAATTACAATTCCTGACTTTCATACTTTCTTTGTTGTTGAAGTGCTTGGTTCCTTTGAGGGAAAATAAAGCTTCTCGAAAATTGATATTTTAAAAGTTGAGTTTTGTTAAATCTAGCCTGTCCTATAATTGTGCTAAAAGGCACAGCTGGGCTATTACAGAATGTGGACCTAAAGTATCCAACAAAAGTGCTGGAAGCTTTTGGCAAAGACACTACTACAAGCTCTTGGGAGCACAAATAAAATTATTCTCAGCTTTGAGGAGGCTCTGTCGACTTGTTGACAATCAAATAGAGAAGCATTATTGTGTCAGTGGTCCAAACCCCAGTCAGACTAATGAACAAGACTAGAATTGGTTTGAGAGAAATAAAAACGAAGTTGAACTCGGTCCGCTCGATTGGCATTTGGCCACTAGAGAGCGCTGTTGCTCCATTTTCTGATCTCATAAAGCTGTAGTTGCGGTGGAGAAAGGTTTTGATTAAAAATAATTACAATCTTATTTTTAATTCCAAATTAAGATAAATTTAACCAAAAACAAATAGTGTGCACTGCTAACTTGTCCAGTTTTTTCCAGGCATAAAATTTGGCTCAGCCAGGATTTTGGAAAATTTGGACTTTGGTACAGCGAAACTCCAAAACTCTATGCTAAATTAATTCATTCTATCAAAACGAAAACGTGTAACAGCATAGATCTTTATTTACGGAGCTAATTTTGCTCTTTTTCTATTCAGATTATAAACAAAATGATTATATATAAAATTTTTTAAAAAATATGTTTTGTCCAAAGAGAAAATTGTATTTTAATATTTTCTAAATTAGGCCTGAATGTGTGGAAATGCATTTAGTAGTGTTGTTTTCCCAGCCCCACCCCATGAATCACACAGTTCTAAAAAGTGTCTTATATCATTGAGATTTGGGTTATCTCTTCTATTTGTTCCCAATTCCATTCCCAAACCCATTCATTTATCAGGGTTCAAACACCAGCGGGCACATAGCATGCAAGGGCGTGCATACACACACACACACACACACACACACACACACACTCCAAATAGTGAAATAAAAAGGCACCATTACAGAGTTACCATTACAGTTTTTATTGAAAATAATCTTTTAATTGGATATTTGCAAATAGAAGTATAAACCCTTAACTGTTAGAATCAGTTCCTTCCCATCTGAATTCAAAGAAAGCTATCTGGTGATGCTTGGCAATGACAAAACGAAAACAAAAAAAAATTTTAATAATCTTACCCCCCTGTCACCCCTAAAACAAGTCTTCAGCCTTCTCTACTAAAATTTCAATAAAGCAGGGCTTTATTTCCAGATTCATTAACAATCTGTGTAACCTCACCATTTCCAGCCATTCCTTGTAGAAATAGTTGGGTCGGACAATATTATTTTTCTATGCCTTTCCATCTCAACCTTAATTTTTTCCATTTGTAAAAATGATATTCAGTCCGCTGGACCGACCCTCAGGATGCCCAATCACACAAGCTGGGCCAACCCACAAGGAACGCCAGGATAATTGAAATCACTGGCCTGCTGCGACTTCGAAGCCATTGGGTTTTTTAGGCATTACATTTGGTGTGGAAAGCCGGCGTGGTGTGTTGTAGCTTAAACCAGATCGTCCTTGGTGGGCTGGGCGTGTCTTTGAGGTCTGTTCCCAAGGCCAGTGGGTCTCATGCCCTCTCAACACTGGGTTACCTAGAAGGGAAAGAGGCTCAGCATCCAAGGAACTCACGAAAAAGGCTGAGTAAAAGAAAGAGAAAAAAAAATACTCAGCGGAGAACCATTACATTTACTGGAACACTTATTAAATGGCATTTATTAAATGTTTTACATTTATTAAAACGGGAGAAGATAGAAGAAGCGTGGAGAGAAGGTTGGTGGTGTAATGCCAAGCAACTCGGGAGAGAGCTGCTAAAATCAGGAATATTTTACCGATTCATACTCAACAATTCATACATAACTCTGGCTGCTTCTCCTCCTCTTTAATCACAAACTAGGCTTAACTTTTTCTTTTCTTTCGGGAAAAATTAGCAACTTTAAGATAAGCCTGGAGCCCACTCTCACACAGCTTATCTCACAGGTTAGGTGAATTAACTAGAATAGTTAGCAGAACACCGGGCCGCCTGCAGCAGCCTGGAACCAGCGCGATCCGAATGCCAGTCTTAAGGCTCCAAGGGGGACTCGCGAGTGTCGGTTCCCGGTGCGCCAGCGGGGGGACAGTCTTTTCAGGTTTGGTCTCGCAGGCGTGGGGGCTGAGACTTGGGGGTCTCAAGTCCTGACCTAGGAAATGCCACCTACCCCAGCGTGAGTCCTCTTTCTCTGCTAGAAACATTTCTTTCCGCTCCTCTATTTACTCCCTCAGCAGTGCTAATGCCCCTCTTCCCACATTCTACAGTCTCCCCCGTTCCTAGTACTGACGTCTATCAAGGGTGAAATGATGGAAACTATATTCATGGGCATGATTTTCATTAAATATCAATTAACCTAGGAGCCTCAGCCAGGTATGCAGTGCGTCAATTGTAAATGTACCTCTCGTTTCCACAAGGCCCTTTCTGTTGGAAAGGACTTTGATTCGTTTGATAACGCCAAGAGTTGGGACCATACTTATGACCTTTAATCAAACTATTTAGACCCAACCAAATGCACGGTCCGGTCTGTCAACTTTGCTGGTCCAAGTTCCCCGTGTTCAGAAATGCAAAACTCATGGCCAGTCTTCATAGGGCTGTTCCAGGGGCTCTAGGAGGGAGTCATTTGCTCTGCATCCTCCTGGGAGTGTCCTCCCTGACTCCCCAAGTCTAAGGTTCTGCCGCGCCCCTTCTCAGCGGGCCAAGGCAGGCGTCCTCTCGGCCACGGAGCGCTGCGAGCCCTTGGCAGTGTGGCTTTATGGGCCCCCTTTAAGGCTGGCGGAGGCATCTCGGGGATGGAGTGAGGAGTCCCGTCGGACATACGGTTCGCCTCGCCTTCGCGTGGATCCCTCCGCGCGGTTATCTCGCCCCCATCTCGCTACCTCTCCTCGCAGTGGTGGGGCACGAAAATGCCTGGCCGGCGCGCACCGGGGCGGCGGCGAGACTGGAGGGAGGGGGGACCCGGGGGGGGGGCGAGGGGAGAGGTAGCAACGGGCAAAGGTTTCTTTCTTTCCCCCTCCACCCCAATTTGCCCTCCAGAGCAGGACTTGTAAACTGAAGCAAAAAAAGAATATTCCCGCAGGCCGGGCGTACTTTTTTCTTGTCCCGGTGCGCTAGGGCCGCCTGGTGCCTGAGAGGAAACAGTGGAGGCAGCGGGGCAGGTCATCCAGGGCGTCGGCGATTATATTGCAGCCGAGCCGGTGCGCGCCAGGAGAGGCTGGGAAGGCGGCGGCGCGCGGGGGCTGGGCCAGGCCCCGCGACCCGCGAGGGAGGCGGCGCAAGGCCGAGGCGGCGGCGCCCCAGCCGGGCATGAATGCCCAGTAGCCGAGCACCCGGGCTGTTGGGCCTCTGAGGCGACGCGCACAGGGCGGGCTGGCGGCAGCAGCGACGTAGTCCGGCGGCCACAGCGGCGCGAGCGGCCGCCCCAGAGGCCCCCGCGGCACTGCGGCCGAGCCCAGGCGCGCTCCCTGACTGCTCCACGCCGCCCGCTTGTGCCGTCCTACGTCGGTCCTCGGGCCGCCGCCGCCCGGATGAGTTCGTACTTCGTGAACCCGCTGTACTCCAAGTACAAGGCGGCAGCGGCGGGCGAGGCCATCAATCCCACTTACTACGACTGTCACTTCGCGCCCGAGGTCGGCGGCCGCCACGCCGCCGCCGCCGCCGCCGCCCTGCAGCTCTATGGCAACAGCGCCGCGGGCTTCCCGCACGCGCCCCCGCAGGCGCACGCGCACCCGCACCAGTCCCCGCCGCCCACGGGGCCTGGGTGCGGCGGTGGGGGCGGCCGGGGTCCGGGTCAGGATTACTTCCACCCGGGCGGGGGCAGCCCGGCCGCTGCCTACCAGGCCGCCCCACCTCCTCCTCCGCATCCTCCGCCTCCGCCGCCGCCTCCCCCCTGCGGCGGGATTGCCTGTCACGGGGAGCCCGCGAAGTTTTACGGATACGATAACTTACAGAGACAGCCGATTTTTACGACCCAGCAAGAGGCCGAGCTGGTACAATATCCTGACTGTAAATCGTCCAGTGGTAATATTGGCGAGGACCCAGACCACTTAAATCAGAGCTCGTCTCCTTCTCAAATGTTTCCCTGGATGAGACCACAAGGTTGGGATGCCTTTTTTTTTTTAAAGAGGGGAGAAATCTGCTTTCATCTCACGTTCTAGCTTTAAAACTCCCCTTTCCTCTCCCTCTCCCGCTCCTTTTCTTTCTTGTTTAGCCGCGGTGGCTCTCATTCATAAAGTAATAAGGTTTTTTTAAAAGTAAAGATGATAGGGACAAAATAGTTGTGAAGACCTTGTCTCTGCTTCTCTTGCCTGCAACACTCTGTATATACAGAGCTGAAGAGCACTCTGTATATTTCACCCGTTAGACCCATTTCAGAAACCTCCAGCAACTTGCAGAGACACCATTGCAGTTTTTTAAACGTTGATTTCCACCTTTTTGTTTTAACCAGCAGCTCCTGGTAGACGAAGAGGAAGACAAACCTACAGTCGCTTCCAAACCCTAGAGCTGGAAAAGGAATTCCTTTTTAACCCTTATCTGACCAGGAAGAGAAGAATTGAGGTTTCCCACGCCCTAGCCCTCACTGAGAGACAGGTAAAAATCTGGTTTCAGAATAGGAGAATGAAATGGAAAAAGGAGAACAACAAGGACAAATTTCCCGTTTCCCGGCAGGAGGTGAAGGACGGGGAAACTAAAAAGGAAGTCCAAGAGCTGGAGGAAGACAGAGCTGAAGGCCCGACAAATTAACTTCTACCTTTAAAATTTTACCACAGACTATTAAAACTAATGGTCAACATATGCTGGTGGACACCACCTATTTTCTTTTTTTGGAAAGGACCTTACCTGTGTTTCAAGCTACCTTCATGTCACTGCTCTTGAGGTTTCTGCGCTTTGAGAGGGATTTGGGTGTTTAAACAAATTTTCTAGTGTTGCATAGAAGCAATACCTGGGCTGTCCTATGAAAGGGTAATTTGATACTGACCTTGTAGCTATATTTTTATAATGGTAGTTTCTAATGTCTGAACTGGTGATTTGCCTCAACAACGTAAACTTCCTAATTATTAGCACAAATAATTGAATATGAAATGCTTTATTAATCAAACAAGTGCACTTGAACAACTTAAATCTTTTCTTTATGGTGAGTAAATTAAGTATTAATTTTTAAAAAAATTATGCCTGAAGAATTTTTACTTTATATTATTTGATTAAAATGTATTATTTATGTTTTTCTTTATGCTTTTATAATGAGTGGTTCAGGTGCCTTTTGTTTACTTCTAAAGTAGTTAAAGGTTTCTCTGAGTATTTTGTTGATGTAATATATCAGGGAAAAGTCTGGGCCAAATATTTGAAAAGCACATGTTAGCTAAAGAGTATAATTGTAGTCCAGGCTCTGGCAGCTTCCTTGAACTTCGGGAAAATGTTGGGCCAGTGACAAAAGTTTCAGGACGTCACAATTGACATTTAATCATTTTTCTATAGTCCATACAAATTATGGCAATTAAATAATCTAGAGTGAATTAATACTTGAAAAACCATTTATAACATTTTCACTCATTAACCTTTCACTCTGGCAAGTCGCCTTGCTTTCATTTTGAACCTCACTTGTAATCGCCTGAAATTGCTTGGTCTCTACACTAGGGCCACCACTGTGATTCTGTTTGAGTATGTGCCATATTTATTTGTATTTCCTTCGCTCTGTTCGCATGCTCCTTTTAAGCCAATTTGCTATGGGTATCTCAGATGACGGTTGGTATGGTCCTCTGCTGTTCTTCAGGAGAACTATGGCCTCACATATTTGAAACAAACCCTGAGAGCAAATGCAGAAAACTCGAGTGTAAACAACCGCTCCAGAACATAGCTAGCTCCTTAATAAAGAAATGAATCTTTCTAGAGCTAATGTCTTTGAGCGCCGCAAATGTTCCTTTTACTGAATTACATACAATAGCCAGTGCCCTTATAAGGCAGCAACTTGCTCAAGGCTTCTGTCTGATAAGAAAGGGTTGGGGATAACACACTTCCCATGCTTTTTTTAAAAAAATAAAAAAAGAAAGCTGGGATGGGGGATGCTCTTGTAGTCAAGAGAGCTGGCTATACTATCTGTGTTTCATCTTGCTGGTAATCCTGCTAAGATGTTATGAAAGCTTTGAACTTCCGCAAAGTACTCAAATTGTAGGCCCGGTAGGGGACATCCCAGAGTCCAGGTTATGCCACAGCTTAATTCCCCTGATTCCCATTGATGCTGGGTTTTGGCATCTGTTATTAACAAGGTATCCATTTCCCATTGGAGCCTGCTCTTGCAGCTGCCATTTTACAGGGGTGGGGGGAATGTAGGAAGGGAGAGGGAAGAAATAAATATAAGAAAAGGATTGTTTTTCCCCCCAAATGGAAAGCATCTTTATTAGATAGATGTTGAAAAGCTCTTTTTATTTTAGCCATTTATTTTTAAAGAGGCACATTTGTGTGTTTGTACATGGTGCTGGGAATAGATTAGAGACACATTTTAATTTCCAGAGTGGTTTTTATTACACAGGTAAGAAAAGATGATCTTTAGTTTGGGGCCAGTCTTGCCTGCCCCCTTAGGTATTGCCAGGCATCTTTCTGCTGTTCCACTAACCAGAGAAATATTGGTATTGGCCAGGTCAGAGATGAAGCACCACCTACCTGGCTTTCCACCCTGGGAAGAGGCTCTTTAATCCAGGAAAGACAGTTTTAATACATGGGTGGCTGAGGCTAAAACACTTGGATGAGAGGAGACAGCTGCAAATGCACATGCTGGATTTGAGAATGTTTTGCATTGTGTGCTGCTGCCTGAAATATTGGCTATTACAGAGGATGCCTAGGGCTGATGGCATGGCTGGGGAGCAGCCCCAAGAATAAACTATCCAAAGACCTGTGCTTATCTAAACTCTAGTTGGTTTAAGGGAGTCTTCTGTATATTAGCAAAACTTGATATCCCACTCAAAAATGCTCCCCAAATATTTCTTTTAGAGCTATAGATTTGAGCAAGTCTCTTTATTAGGTGAGGGACCTAGTGCATGGGTAGAGGTGGAAAGGTGAAGGGAAGGTAAAAATGTCCCTTCCTTGGCATTCTGTGCTGATCTGGAAATGAACCTTCTGACCCTGCTGGTCCCCTAAACCATGATCATAGCTCATATACAGAAGATGACTTCATTTCAATAACTGATATATTTGAGAAATGAGTTTGTACATATACATAGATTGATTATACACATGGAGAAAGTGTTAGTTATGAATGTAGGTATATGTATTTTCTTCTGTAGTTAGGAAACACATAGGTTTGTCTCCAAATAAAGACCCTGAGGAGTTACACATCACACATATTCGCCACCTTCTTTTACAATGGCTAGACATCTCCACCCCTCCATCATGGTAGCTCATATAGACAGAGGACCAGTGACGAGCACCCAAGTTGCCTTTCTAATTGGCTCAGATCGGTAAACATTCAAGCTTTGTAGCATCAAACAAACATTTTTTTTTGCTGCAAAAATTTGCATAAATCTTCAGAGAACCCTTTGCAAATCCAGGCAGTGCTTTTCTGCCCGGAGCTGCAGCAATATGCCTAAGTCTGTAAGAAAAAATAGGACCCTCCAATGTTAACAATGAAAAAGCTAAGCTTTCCAAGTGAATTAGGCTTTGTACTTGCAAGAATGAGAAACACAAAAGAGGATGTAGGTCTCAGTCTAGAGAAAAGACAGTTCAGGGATGCCATTTTGTAAGGTTCCACAAAGATCAATGCATTGCTTACTTCTGCACAGAAGGGGAAAAAGCAAATATGGCTGCCATTCAGTGCCAAGAGTCTCTTCCCAGTCCTCATTCCCCAAGTTGAAAAGGAGGGTCATGAAGCTCTGCTTTATTTGGGTAAAAGGGGAGAAAATAAAAAGACAAATTGATTATCGAGATTATTTCTCAGAAAATTTTTAGAATTCAACACTCTTTCCTCAGTTCATGTGTATAGATCAGTAGAAAGTGTTCTAGACTTGAGAGGGCCCAACAACTTGCTCCAACTCCTTGTGTAATAAAACATTTTTTAGTCTTCAATGCAGAAGGTGTTGCCATTTCACATTCAAGCTTTTGTCTTCTACTTCCAAGGTATTTTCTGAGTCCTTGGGCATCTGGGGGTGGGAAGGGGAAGAGAGAATATTTGAATGAACTCTTGTCTGCTTCTGTGGTTCCCTTTAGCAAAATTAGGACCCATTGGCTTTTCTAGAAAGAATATGACTTTTGCTGAAAAATGACAACAGAAGTCCTTTAATAAAAAACATCCAAGGTCATCTGAATTTCCTCATAGGTTACAAATTGCCTATTCCAGAGGATGGTGTGCCATTTCCTGCTGAAGTCTACATTCACTGAGGTACTTAGTGTGAAGATGGTACTAGTAGAGAACTTAAACACACATAACCAATATAAAATATAAACATTGTTAGTAGTCCTTAAAGGCTATCTTTAAGGAAAAGATTGGCAATATGCTGGTGGGGTTGGGGGGCAGGAGAGAGAACCTTTTTCAGGCAAGTACTGAAACCTGGATTACCATGCCCATGAGGGGAATACTGGAGGCCAGCTGAGGACATTTACTTTCAGGCAGAGTTCTATGAAAAATGCAAAGATGTGACACCTGCCTTTGAGGAAAAACATTTTTGACTGGTTTTGGGGAGTCACTCCTTTTCTGAACAGGAAAAGGAGAAAGGAGCCCTCCTCTTCACAACTGCATTGAATAGACTTTTCAATGGGCAAATATTTGGGGTTCAAGGAGAAAAAGAAGAGCTAGGAATGAATTTCACAGAAATGAGAATTGCTCTCAGAGGGGACCTAAAGCAAGGAGTTTCAGAGGGGATCCCAAATGATCACTTGTAACCCAAGACTGTCTAGGAGGATGTTTATGCGGAGACACTGACCAAACAGTGGATGCCCAAACTGTTATTTTGGAGAGGTTGACAAGTACTTAAAACCATTTTAGCTATTGGACTGTTGGTAATTCTTCTACCAAAGAAATCCCCAGCAAATGGAAGATCTGAATTTATGTTGGAGAGGAGTGGGAGGGGAGATTGTGCTTTCTTGGTCTGCAGAGCCCAGATTTTCTGGGCAAGATCACTGGGGTAGGCTTGCCTTAGGTAAAAGGGTAAAAATGAAAGTGCTTGGCTACCCCTCTGGACAAGCCTTTTATGAAGGGAAGGGAGGAGAAGCCAAGTTATCAAGGTAGTGGAAGACATTGGGGGTTTGCTGGAGGAATGACCTCCTTAGCACCTGAGCCAACCATTTCCAACAGGGCAGCCAAAGGCACAGAGGTTTTAAGCCAAATTAAATACACACACACACACACACACACACACACACGTTCCTAGAAAAAGAAGAGAGGAGAGGCGGGGAGTGAGGGAGAAAAGAGAGAGAGAGGGTGGAGAGGAAAGAGAGAAAGACCAACAGACCTGGGAGACAAGAGGAAAAAAGGACTGGAGGAGTGGGACTGAGAGAGAGAGAAAGGAGGGAGAGGGCAGCAAAAAAAGAGAAAAAGAAAGACGGGGAAGAGGAAAAAACATGGCGCTTGCGAGCTGTATGTGCAAAATCCGCAAGGAATTGCAGTAAATTCCTTTTTGTTTGAAGAAAATTTACAACTTGGTAATAGACCTTTTTATGACCTATTTGCGGTCGTCATTGGCTGCGGCTGGTCATGTGCAGGCGCCGCTCGCCTTCACGGCCTTTTTCCTGATTTCCCAGGCGAATTTCCCCCCGCATTCTGCTTTCCCAGAGCCTCACCCCCTCTTTTTCTAACCTTTGTCTCTGCAGAGGTGGGCTCCAGTCGGCGGCTGCGGGGTTGCGGGGTCCGTTGCGGCCTCGGCTCCTGCCCGGCGCCGGGCCTGACCCTACGGCCGCTAGCTCCGGACGCACCGTGGCCGCCTCCGGAGCTGGTGGGGAGCCCGGAAGGAGCCCCAGGCGCCGAGCCCCCCGCCGGCGCTGACACCGCCTGCCGGCAGCAGCAGGCCTGCTCCGAGTGACTAGCCGCGCGGTTCCGACGCGGTTTCTTCTCCAACATGAGCCAGTTCCTGCTGCCCAGAGTGCGCGCAGCCAGGCTGTGCTTAGTGGATTACAGCAGCCGCCCAGGCCGACCGCCGGCTCCCGCTGGACAGCCTCCGGGTAAGAGTCACCCCTTCCCCGCGCCCCGAGAGCTGCCAGCGAAGAGCTCGAAGTGCCAACCGCCTAGCGCGGTTCGAGGAGCCCAGCCCAGCCCCCTCTACATCCCTGGAACCTAGGGGTCACTGTATGCACCCCTGCCCTCTAATCCATCCCCAGGATGTCCCTTGGGGCCCGGGTGGGGACCTGCTGGGCTCAGAAGTGGAAGGGGGAAAGTCTGGTTTCCTCCAGAGGTGGGCAGCAGCAGCTAGGATCCCACTGACTAAATCAAGAGCCCCTCAATCCCGACCTTGGAGGAAGGGTGTGAAGATGGTTTCTGAGTATTTTAGCTTTGTTGGAATTGTGGGGGGTCAATAAAGGCACCCTGTAGAATAAGACGTTGGTTTTGCGGTTTGTCTATGTTCCGAGGTACCTGAGAGGCTGACAGGTGTTTTTTGAGGGTTAGAGCTTTGGATGGGGGTGGGGTGGATTCTGTGTACTCAGAGTGTGCTTGTTTTTTTTTTTTTTTTAATCGAGGCTTTGGTAATGATGCTGGCTAATTTCTAGGGTTTAAGGTTTATTGGGCCTTGGGTATGGGATAAAATTTTAAATATTTCTTTAGTGCTCAGGGGATTTTTAAAAAAAAATAATAACTCAAAATAAATTCTTCCGAATCTGATAGTCTCTCAGATGAATTTGGATTATTTTATGCTACAAAATGGATGCATGGTTTG